AACAGTGTTCTTAACCACTGAGCAATCTCTCCAGCCTCTCTAATTCTTAATTAGTTTAGAAAAGCACTTGTGGGGCGGGACATGGTGGCACACACCTTTAATCCCAGCACTCAAGAGGCAGAGGCAGGCGGATCTTTGTGAGTTCAAGGCCAGCCTGGTCTACATAGTGAGTTCCAGAACAGCTGAGGCTACAGGAAGACCCTGTCTCAAAAGACCCCCCCCCCGCAAAAAAAAGCACTTTCAAGTGAATACAATTCAGCAATTCTCTCTCATCAAAAAATAGGGTTTTATGCCATTTGCAGTTCACTTCTGTGTATGTGGGCAGGAGCCCAGCCCTTGAGAAACATTCTTGGCACCTCCTGGCTGGCAGCATTCAACCAAAACACTCTGAGAACAGAGGGTAGATGAGGGCACAGAGTCCCTGGAACTGACATCCAAAGCCGGGTGTGGGTGGGATCTAAAGATGTCCACAATGAGTGGCTTCAGAAAAGGAGACGCCCCAAGGACTCTGACTGGAGTTGGACCTTGAGGACAGGGAGGGGTCCACTGGGTAGCCATGTACATGGTGCAGGCCTTATGAGCCTGGGAGAGGTTGGCACTCTGAACTAAGGCATGTACAGCTTGCCCATGGGGTGGACCAGAACACCCCAGTCAATGGGGCTTGCATAAGGCAAGGGTGTTCATTTGCTGGGTGTGTAATAGGTATAATGTACTGAGTTTAGAGGGTAAGAAAAGCATGTTCAAGCCAGGCGTGGTGGCACATGCCTTTAATCCCAGCACTCGGGAGGCAGAGGCAGGCGGATCTCTGTGAGTTCAAGGCCAGCCTGGTCTACATAGTGAGTTCCAGGACAGCTGGGGCTACAGGGGGGTTCTGTCTCAAAAAAGACAAAAAAAAAAAAAAAAAAAAATTGGTGGGTAATATTTATTTGGTAATAATGTTTAAAATTAATTGTGATGGGGCCAGGCCTGGTAGTACACCCTTTTAATCCCAGCACTAAGGAGGCAGAGGTAGGTGGATCTCTGTGAGTTCGAGGCCAGCTTGGTCTACATAGCAAGTTCCAGGCCAGCTGGGGCTATAGGGAGACCCTTTCTCAAAAAGACAACAAATAGCTGGGTATGGTGGTGCACACCCTTAATCCCAGCACTCGTGAGGCAGAGGCAGATGGATCTCTGGTAGTTCAAGGCCAGCCCGGTTTACATAGTGAGTTGGGCTACAGGGAGACCCTGTTTCAAAAAGACCAAAAAAACCCAACAAAAGACTTCAGAGCTGAAGAAATGACTCAGTGGTTAAGAACACTTAATGTTCTTCCAGAGGACCCAGGTTCGATTCCTAATACCCACATGGCGGCTAACAACCATCTGTAATTCCAGTTCCAGGGGATCTGACACCCTCTTCTGAACTCTGTGGGGGCACTGCATACATGTGGTGCACTTACATATATGCAGGCAAAACACTCATACACGTAAAACAAAAATAATAAATAAAATATTAAAAGAAACTTAAAGACTTCAGCATAAGGGCTAAAATTATAAAATTCCCAGAAGAAAAGATTTGAGTAAATCTTCACATTCTGGAATTAGCAATGCTGTCTTAGACATAGCATCAAAGCATGAGTTGTAAGAAGCAATGGATAATGTTGAAATTCATCAAAGGTAAAATTTCCATGGCCAAAACCATGCCAGTAACGAAGTGAAAGCAAAACCACACAATGTGGGGCTGGAGAGATGGCTTGGCGGTTAAGAAGGCTGGTTGTTCTTGCAGAAGACCTGGGTTCAAATCCCAGCACCCACATGGTAGCTAACAACTGTCCGTAACTCCAGTTCCAGGAAATCTGATGGCCTCTTCCATCCTCCGTAGGCATTGCACGACACGGGTACACTTACCTACATGCAGGCAATACACTCATACACATAAAATAAAAATAATAAATATTTGAAAGGGGGGGTGCGGCACAGATCCAAAAGATGGTTTCTTGACTTCAAGGAACTTGAATCTAGAACATAAAAAGAACTCATAATTCATAATAAAAAAAGATACATAACTCAAACGGAGCAATGGAGCTGTGATGTAGCTCAGTGGTAAAGTATATGTAGCATGTGCCAGGCCAAGAGTCCTAATCCCAGCACCAAGCTGGATGTGGTGGTATATGCTTGCAATCCCAGCACTCCTGACATAAGAGAATTGCAAGTTCAAGGCCAGTCTGAGATATATAGTAAAATTGTCTTACAAACAAACAACCCAGAGCTGGAGAGATGGCTCAGCAGTTAAGAACACTGGCTGTTCTTGTAGAGGACCTGGGTTCGATTCCCAGCACCCACATGGCAGCTAACAAGTGTCAGTAGTTCCAGTTCCAGGGGATCTGATGCCCGCTTCTGACCTCTGCAGGTACTGCACAATACAGGTGTACTTACATACATATAAGCCATATACTCATATACATAAAATAAAAAAAGTAAATACAATATTTTAAAAACCCCAAACAAACAAAAATATAAAACAACAAACAAAACACCTACAACAAGATATGTAGCTAGCAAAGATCATGACCTTCATGGGGTATGGAAGAGGCCTGAATGTGGCTGGTCAACCCCATCTCCTGATAGAGCTACCTAAGGAACTGCACTTCAGTGTACTTCCAGCTAAAATCCCAGCAGGACATCTTTTTCAGGGTGCATCTAGGCTGGGACTGAAGCAGGTGGATGAGTGGACAGAGAGCCTTTCTGTGCCTGAGATCAAGATGATGGAGGCTTCACAAATTAGTGAGGCAAGACTCTAGCCAACAGGGTCAGGATTGCTTGCTATCCATGAGGAAACATGTAAGTCTAGATTGATGGAAAATGTAAAAACCTTAAAACCTTCAAAGAACAGACATGAAGAACTCATGACCTTGGGCAGGCAAGGGCAATACATCAGTACACAAAATCTCAGGGAAAAGGTGACACGTGCCCAAGAAAAAGCATCTAACCAACACAACCAGCATGGGAACAGAAGCCCAGATGGAGGCAAGCTCCATGGTATAGCCAACAGGCACTGTTCTCCACAATGAGCAGGAAGGAGCCTGCACACCAGAAAGGCCAAGGCAGCTTACCTGATAGAAGAAATTTCCATCAATGCAGATTGAAAGGTTTCATTAGGTAAGTGAAGACAGATGCTAAATCCACAGACACTGAACCACTGGCTATAATGAAAACTCTGGCTAGTGCAAGGGTATTGTGGTGAGAAGGAACCAATAACAGGTACCACAAAGATCATTTGGCTCCACAGGCAAGCTAGACATACAGACAGTACAGTCACTAGGAATCCTTAGGGCCAAGAGCATGTCTACACTGCATAGCACAAGCCCAGGGTACTCATTGGCACCACCTACCTGCAGGGTCCTCTGTACACTATGTGTAAGAGAAACTTGAAACACTGCTGTGGGGATGTGACACCATACTCAAGAACAGACTGATTAGCAATCTATGGGAATGGGGATATGGTTTAGCGGTAGAGCACTTGCTTAGCATATATGAAACCCTGCATTCAACTCCTAGCATAAAAGAAAACAACAAAACTATGTCAGTATCTTGAGAAATTATGGTATTTGGAAAACTAAGCTAAAGATAAGATCAAATCATAAAGTAAACTGTGACATATATAGGATGTTATCTTTGCCCACTTGGCCCATCATCAGAGACCTAAAATCCAAGCTGCAGAGACTCAGTCCTGTAGCAGGTATTTGTAAGGGCTTAGCAGACTATTTGGGGGAGGGGGTGGTTTACACACACACACAGGCTCTGTTTCTTTGTGTTTTTTTTTAAATTTGAGACATGATTTCATGTACTCCAGGTTGGCCTCAAATTTGCTATGCATCTGAGAATGACCTTGAATTTATGATCCTCCTGCCTCTACTTCCCAAGTGCTGGGATTATATATACCTATAACACTATGCCTATTTTATGCAGAGTTAGGGAACTGAACCCAAGGTTTATATATGCTAAGGAAGCACTCTAACTCTAACTAGCTAAGCTATATTCCTAGCCCAAGAATTACTTTTAAAATGGTCAAGGGAGCCTGATGTGGTGACCCATACCTTTAATCCTGGCACTCAGGAGGCAGAGGCAGCCTGGTCTATATAGTGAGTTCCAGGTCAGCGGCTATAGGTAGACCCTGTCTCAAAAAGACCAAAAACAAAACAAAATAAAATGGCCAAAGAAACGAAAGATAGGGAAAGGCTATAGAAATCATCTAGATTAGAAAAGGCTAAAGAGACTCAGAAGGCAGAATAGGCTGAGGAATCCCATACTGTACAGGTCTGGGAAGTGCTATGAAGACAACAGGGAATGGCTGGCACTATGGTCTGAAGTGGCAGAGGATATCAAAGTCTTTTGTCAACATCAGATCTCTTCAGTAATGTGTATCTTGGTTACATGAGAGTCACCTGATGGATACATGCTCAAACATCAGAGGACTAAGGCAGAATATGTGTAACCTATCCCAAAGTAACTCAGAAAATGGGATGGAGTAACTGATGCACACAGTTCAGGGAAAGGACACAAAAATGTTCCTAGGACTGTACTTATTCTTGTAATTTTTCTGTAAGTATAGAATTATTTCTGGATAAAAAGCTGAAAATTAGAAAAAAATTTTAAATGATGTATGGCTACCAGTATCCATATGGATTGATGCCCAGGAGTGCCTGAGGAATTGGGCCCAGTATAAAGGTTCATATGTCCAGCCCAGGCTTCAAGTCTTTTGAGAGGGATGCACTGGCCTCTACCAAGTATGGCAGGGATCACTACAGTGAATTGGGCTGTGATGAGAACATGGGACTACAGAGACAGAAGGAAGACCCACTGATGTCCTTGCGAGAAGGCATGAGCAACATTCACACAACTGAGAGAACCAGCAGGGCTGTGCCAAGAGCCCTGTAGCTACCCTACCTTCTCTGTGAAGGGTTGTTCCCTCCCATTTTCCTGGGGCTTGGGAAATTCAGCAGGGATGGACAGTGTCTCCTTACCTGGTGCTCGACCCTGGAATCCTGGGGTCCTGCCCATCGACATGCTGGCTTCTGCATTCGTAGTCCTGTGTCTGGGACATTGCTATCTGCTTCCTGAGTGCTGAGGTGGACAGTCGTCAGACAACTCCTCCAGTATCAGACAGGAAGAGGCCACACTAGGGAGAAGAGAAGTGGCTAAGCACTGATGGAAAATGTACATATCACAGAGATGGCCTAGACCACAAATATGAAATCCCTGCAGGCAGCTGGCCCCAATAGGAAGCAAGCCCTATGCCCCTATCCCTAGGGGAGTGCTGTTTGTGCACAGCCCCTCTTGTGTAGGAGGAGGACCTGCAAACCAACTGCCCACTGCTAGAGTTCCATGTGGGTCAGGGTAAAAGCATATGAGCCTGAGGGATCAGTCCAGTATATCACATCTTGTGCCTAACATCTGGGCCTCCATAACCCCAGGTCAAGATGCTACCATATACCAGGAAGTTGCTGTGGGAATGGGCAGCATAATAATACACAAAACAAAGGTGAAGCTCAGGAACATGCCAGGTACACACAAATCTTCTGACCTGTGACTGTGAATGGGCATGCTATGCTGACCAGAGACACATGTGGAAAAAGGACCCCTGAACCTATGTTCACAAAGACATTCAAACTGTACATATGAATGTTGAAAATAAAACAAGATAGCTTTTTGAAAAAAACAAAACAGAAAATTTGGGTTTTACAGTGGGCATAAATGTCAGAGATTGTCACAAAACCAGTAAGAAAGGAAAATTCAGTGAATTGGACTAAAATAAAGGTGAGATTATCTATCTTCAATCAATCACTCAATCGAGAAACCAAGAGTAAAAACAGCAAGTCCAAATGCTACATAGAACACCCACAGGTATGGTGTGCATGATCTGACAAATGGACACACCAAAACACATAAAAAAATCCTATAGAAAAAGAACAGTAGATAACGCAGCAGAAAATAGACAACTGCTATGGAAATGGCTCAGTTTCCCTCTTTAGGGAAGTGCTCAATAAAAGCATAATGTGATACAGAGCACCCAACAAAATTACTAAAATGAAAAAGATTAAAAACTATCAAGTGCTGGCAAGGGCAAGGAACAAGAACACTCATACTTTATTGCCAGGTATAAAGGGATTACCTACTCCAAACAGTGGCTCCACAGTATTTCCTAAAGGAGAACATACACACCTACTTGGCCCAAGGAGTCCTTGCAATGGAGGCTGCAGCAGTTCATCAAAGACATTGTGACACTGCTAGCAGATCTGTCCCAACAGCTATAGGAGGAACTCTTCAATTGCATACCAGTTCCCCTGCAGGGAGTGTGAACAGCAACTGCTCGCACACACACACACACACACACACACACACACACACACACACACGTGGGGTTTCTTTCCATAAAGTTCAAAAGCAGCTGTTAATAGAAATCAGAACCAACAGGATCTGGGCCAGGTAGTGCCAGGATGGGCTCATGGGTCGTATGCTGTCTCCAGCTAAGGCACTACTTACATAGTGCTGGTTTGGGAAGCTCACAAAGCTTGCATCAGGTACTTTCGCTTTTCTATACAATTGCCCTACCACAACAAAGCCTGCAGCCACATGGAATGGGGTATCGCCAAGACTTTGTCTTCTTTTAAAATA